GTTTGGGAGGATGGGATTTATGTCTGTATTTATTTATGTGTTTAGAGCCTAATTGTAAACTTGTAGAAGTTTTGCAAGACCACTGTAAGGAGCTCCCTTTAGCCAGACTCCTATATTATTTACGTTTTGCCCTTTTACCTGCAGTGGTTAAGTGTGTATTTCCTAAGAGCAAGGAGAGTCTGTTACATAACCACAGTCCAGTGACCACATTTAGGAAATGTAACCTTGCTATAATACCATTCTCTAAGCCATCTGTGTTCTCTAATTCAGGCCATGTTTCAGTGTTGGTGCCCTCTGCAGCTCTCTGTGCTCCCTCCACCCCTGTCCTCTGCCCAGGGTCACCTGTCGCCTTTGATTATCATACTGTTCCATTCTCCTTTCACCTGGAAGCTTCCTCAGCCCTTCTCTATCATTTTGGACCTCAGTATTTTTTGAAGAGTCCAGGCCAGGTACTGTGTAGAATATGATCTCCTATCTGGGCGTCTGGGTGGCTCAGTCAGTTAAGCCCGGCTCCTGATTTCTGCTCAGGTCACCATCTCACAGTTCGTGGGATCGAGCCCCACATCAGGCTTTGTGCTGACAGTGCAGAGCCTGCTTGGGATTCTCGCTCTCTGTCCCTCCCCAGCTCACGTGGGCACTCTCTCTCTCTCAAAAATAAATAAATGAACTTAAAACAAAAGAATACGATCTCCTATTACCTTTCTCTAGGGACTATTTGATATTCTGTTGTAAAGAAGGTCCTTCCCTTCTCCTCCATTTAGATCAGTATGAACTCGCAGATTCTTTATTATTAGGTTATAATTTTGTTACTATCATCATCTTGATGTTCACATTATACCAGATCTGTCGAGAGGGAGCCCCTTGGAGCCAGTTCTCACATCGCTTGGACACATGCCATCATTCTTGGAGCATTTCCTTACTTTTTGGTGCAGCAAGAGGGCTCCAGGCTCCTAGTGTCACTTTCCCTGCTCCCACCCCGGAGGCAGCCATTTCTCTGAGGAGCCCTTGTTCTTTCTGGCAGAGAATGGTGTTCAGAAACTAGGATGTGGACACCAGGTGCCCTTATGCTCCAGGGGTGTCATGTCTTCCAGGCCTACACAGAGGACAGAGCCAGGAAAGAAAGAGAAAGAAAGAGAGAAAGGGAGGGAGGGAGGAAGGAAGGAAGGAGCAAACAAATACCCGTATACAGTCATAGTTACATTTCTTCCTATGTTTCTGTATCTATTTCTCTTTAGAAAAATATTAAAAACAAGTTCATCCTGATCCCTCCCATTCCAGATAGACACCCCGGGACACAGTCTAGTCTTACCTTTACTATTTCTTTTTTTTTTCTTTTTTTTTTTTATTGTTTTCTTTATTTTTGAGAGAGAGAGAGAGAGAGAGAGAGAGAGACAGAGTGCGAGCGGGGGAAGGGCAGAGAGAGAGGGAGACACAGAATCTGAAGCGGGCTCCAGGCTCCCAGCTGACAGCACAGAGCCCGACGCGGGGCTCGAACTCACGAACCCTGAGATCATGACCTGAACCAAAGTCAATGCTTAACCGACTGAGCCACTCAGGCACCCCCCCTTTACTTTTTCTGTGTAAGTAACTCCCTCACTTTCTGGTTTTGAGGACCTGCTGTTATATGTGCTGATAACAGTGACCTGGGGGTGCTCTGAGAGATTCCTATAGAAGGAGCAAAACAGAACCACCAAACCCACGTAGGTATTTGACTTGGGCCATCTTGGCAGCCAGGCTCAGAATTTAAGGGCAGACCGCTTAGATCCCCGACCCTAAAGTAATAGTGCTTATTTACTCCCCACCCAGACTCCTTCCTTGTTGAGGCATGCTGCATTCAAATCATAGACTGTCATTTTTATTAATAGCTTGTCTTTTTGCTCTTTTACTGTTTATCGCAAGGAATTTCATATTTCTTTCTTTCTTTTTTTTTTTTTTTTAATTTTTAAAATGTGTATCTTAGAGAGAGAGAGAGCATGAGCAGGGGAGGGACAGAGGGAGAGGGAGACACAGAATCAAAACAGGCTCTAGGCTCTGAGCTGCCAGCACAGAGCCCGGCACAGGTCTCGAACCCACAAACCGTGAGACCATGACCTGAGCCAAAGTCGGACGCTCAACCGACTGAGCCACCCAGGCGCCCCAGGAATTTCATATTCCATAAATACCTTTAGGTTCGCAATTATTAAATCCTTTTAGAGTAACTCGTATCCCATCTCTTGCCTGTGCCTTCTTTCCACCCCTCTTCCCCTGCTTATGTGTGGTTCGATACCCACACCCGTCCGTAAGCCTTTACCTACTCAGCACCAGCAGCAGAAGTTAATTATCCTTCAACACACTGGATGGTTGTCTCCCCCCCGAACACACACCCCTTTTACTTTGTGAACCACAGTTCTCCATGTAGGGAAGACAGTGCAGAAAACTGCCACCAGAGCCAGAACTGGGGCTGAGCAAAACCCTGCTGACGATGCTTAGTTTTCTCATTGGGTGGCGCCAGCCTCCGGCACAGGGCATGATTATGTATAACCAGCTTCTGGAAAAGATCTTAAATTACATCGACTGACTATGCAGGAACCATTCATTAACATTTCTCCCTGTTTCCCG